AGGATTTTGATCACAACACTCAGCCAGCCAGGGGTTGAGATACACAACTCAGTATCATTCACATATTGATGATATCTGACCCCAAACTGGCAGATGATCTCATGCCACAGTTAAACAGAAGGGGAGAGATTGTCAAACCTTGTGATACCCCACAAATGAAGGGCCACAGATGCAATATTTTGTGATCAAGGGCCATGAGTACAGATGTATTACTCCCATCCCAGCTCCACCACAGGACATCAACAAGCATAACCAATACTGTCTCTGTATTAAGCTATGGCCTGAAACAGGTCCAAACAATCAGCTTCCTCCAGGGTCCTCTGGAGCTGAAGCCCAACTACCCTCTCCACCACCTTCCCTAAAAAGGGAGGGGTTGAAGACTGGACAATAATTGTCCAGGACCATTGAGTCCAGTGATATCTACTTGAGGAGAGGGTGCACCATAGCCTCCTTCAAGGCTGAGGAATCCACACTCCCTCAAAGAAACTGACACCACTGCATGGACCCAACCACAGGTCACCTCCCAGGCAGTTTTAACCATTGACATAACTATCCACAGGAGGATCTAACAAGCAGGTGGCTGGGTTAACAGACTGGAGAACCCTGTCCACTTCCATGGGTACCACAGAATCATACTTGCTCCAGATAATAACACAAGGCCTGTGCACCTCAACTTGACCTGTCCAGTTGGAGTCCAACTCTGAGCAAAGCCAAGCAACTTTATCTGCCCAATAGGAAAAATATTCCTCACAACAACCCTGTAGATGGTCTTGAGTTGCCCTGAATAGGGCCACTGGGTGGCTATTACTTCCTAGACTAGTCTCGGTCCTTAAGACTCAGTCTCATTCCTAGAATTTCCTGGCATGATCTCCCATCCAAGTACCAACCAACTAAAATGTGGATGGGTAATTTGTAGCCCATTGGCTGTGTTCACCTACACATGTTTAATTCAGTTTGGGGGGAGGGTTGCTTACACAGTAACATATGGTTGGCTAATGAGCAGTTCACCATATGGTGAAACACAGCCAGTGAGCTATGCAAATATATTTAACAATATATTAGGATGTACAATTTCTATAGCCACCCAACTCCATACTTCATAAAATACACAGAAGTGATATAAATTACAGCTGATGCAGATGAGACTTACTTTAGCATCACCATAGCTGGGTTCACACAATAAGCCACACAATCCATACTTTGATTTAATATATCATGTGTTCCTATGATTAATAATAGCAAATCCAATTTATGGCTCAGTGCCAGAAGGAAATCGCCAGCAATTTGAATAAACCCTGCTATCCAGTTAGTTTAGTTCTGGAGTTCAACTACAAGATTTAGAGCAGCAGTTCTCAAACATTTTGGTCTCAGAACCCCTTTACATTCTTAAAAATGATTGAGGACCCCAAAGTGCTTTCATTTATGTGGGTTATATCTATTTATCCAT